CGGAAGCATCTTCCTGGCCATTCCCTCCCCCTCCTCTCCACTTCGCCCGCTCTCGTCGTCCTCCTCCCTTTCCCCTCCCGCTCCTCTCTTGTTTCCTGCTTCGTAGTCATGATGCGCACCGTTGTTCTGCTTCACAGTCGAGCGGGTGTACTTGAGACTTCCACGAAGAGCTGCCAATCGTGCATTCTGCCCGCGCGTCCTTCCGGATGCTCGGCTCAGCCAGCCAGTCCCCTCCCTTCCCTGATGCCTCAGACCTCCGACGTGCTCAGACATTAACTATAATTACCCCACGTTTGCGACAAGCGAAGCTCCAGTGGGGGCCTCGGCCAGTGCCGTTGCGAAAAGCTCTTCATCCATCGGGCTCTGGCCTGTGGGAAGCCTGTGCCCGTGGCACACGGGTGAGGTGTAGATCCGCGCAGCGGGTGCATCCTCGTGCCCTTCCTGCCCCCCCCGTCCTCCTCATTCCCTTCCTGCCCCGGAGGAAGGATCCAGGATCTAGGAAAGGATTCAGGGCTGTTGGAGGTCCGGGGGGCCGCAGGGCTTCTGGGCGACCCTCTCCCCATTCCTGCCTCCTGCTGGCTCCTCCTCCCCTTCTCCTCCTCCTGCCTCCGTGTGATTGCTCCTCCTCCTCCCCCTCCTCCACCTCCTCCTCCGCCTCAATACCCCTCACTCTTTCCTGATCCCTCCTTCCGTGCCCCCCATTCACTCCCCGATGCCCTTCCCCTCCCACCTTCCCCTTCCTCGTTATCGTCACCCTCCTCTCCGCCCCTCTCCTCCTTCGCGTTTCATGGTAAGTTCGGGTTCCAGCGATTTCTTACTCACGCCTCTAGAGTCGACGTGCAGTTCAAGCGGCACAGATCGACCCATAATTTCCGAACTCCCAAGAGCGAGGCCACCAGCTCAACGATCTCAGCATCCCCGAAACTGGAAGAAAGAGGGTGTTCAAGCCACAGAACCTTCCCCTGGAGCGTTGATACCGCGCCATTTACCATACCAGGGGCGAGATTCCTCAAGGCCTTTCATCCCCTCACGATACCATCGACTCGGACCGCGGCAGCATGGCCTGAGGCGATCGATCGCGGAGCATACCCTCACTACACGCTCAGCACTCAGCCATAACATCTCCGCTTCACCGCGACAGATCCGGCCCCGCATCCATGTCATCGGGCCTCGACGAGCCCCCATCCCCGCTGCCCGCCGAGACTCGAGCGCCTCCCCCCGGCAGGAAGCACCCTGCGAGCACAGGGGGCCAGTCCATAGGGGCACACATAGAGAAGAATAAACAAAAAACCGCAAACATAACCCAAAGAGAAGAATCATAGGGGAACGACAAGTGGCATAAACATACAAACTCGGAGCTCCGCGCGGACTTCTCGGATTGGCGCTGAACCCCCCTCCCTGGCGCGCCAGGGGCGGCGCCGGAGGCGCCGCCGGGGGGCCTCAGCGCCGATCCGAGAAGTCCGCGCGGACCTCCGAGTTTGTATGTTTATGGCAGCGTTTGTTCTCTTATAAGTCCTGGGCGGATAGCCGACGCCCAGGAACGCCGCCCTCGGCCTGGCACTCCTGGCGCTGGCGGGGGCACCCTCCCGGGTCTGGACCGCCGCGCCTCTCGCCCGGGGGCCGCCCGGGCCGCCCTCTCAGGGGGGTCCACGAGGGGGGCGTGCCAGAGGGGTGTGTGCAGATCGTGGCCCGAGGCACGTCCGCGGCCCGGGGGGGGGTCCGGGACGCATAGTCACAAAGCAGTCTTTAGCACATAGGAGGTTTTAAAACATTGGATTTGTAATACATGATTGATTTATGTATGAATTTCTGCACGATCTCATCCTTGCTTTCAATACTGAAAACCCTGCATTTTTAGGACATGATCCGCACGCGGAGCATGTACTAAAAACGGCATAGTTATGGACACAAGAAGAGGCACCCCTGAGATCTGGGGAGGCATCATGCCCCCCGCCATGATACGCACCCCCCTCCTTGCCGCCCCCGAGGCCAAAAGGTTCTGGCAGGCCCAGGACGGCCCCTCGACCCGCGAGGGGGAGATCTCGAGGATGATCTCTGCGGAGTCCTCGAGGCCTCCAGCCCAGCCGTAGGAGACCCCCGCCCGCAGGGAGATCGGCGATAAACAGCAACCATCCAACGGTGGCCTCGCCATCGCTCGGACGTCCATTCCCCGTGAATTTTCGATTTCGTGCTTGTACTGTTTCGCAACATGATCCCAGATGCTCTTCAATGGTCCTCGCCGAGAACACATGCACACGTCCGAACGATGCCAAGTGACGAGCCAAATTCGCTACGACACCCCCTCTCCCTGGGTCGTGCGACAACTGCGCGACGAGAGAGCTGCCGCGAGAGCTGGCCCGAAAGCTGCCCCGACTCGGCCTCGAGCTGGTGGACTGAAGAAGGGCGCTCCGCTGGGGCCCAGATCATCTCCCATGATCGGGGAGACGTAAGACCCGGGTACGGGGGACTCGGAAATCCCCGACGAGGTCGTCAAAAAAATGACGAGGCCGAGCCTGCATTTTGACGAGGCCTCCCGCTGCAGACATCCCGCGAAACTCCTCCTCGTCAAAATCCGAGGCGCGGTCGTCAAAAAACGATGGCGAACCCGAGTCCCGGCAAACCCGGGTCTTACGCTCCCCCGACATGAGCGGGTGCCCGGGGTGCAGCTGATCGGATCGGGTCGGCGTCGGCCGCCGCTGCGGGGCGACCCCCAGCGAAGACAGCTGCTAGAGAGAGCCGTCGCCGCGGCCCCGATCTGGACGGGCACCGCCGCGAGCTGACTTAGGTCGGCCACGTCCTCCGGCAGGCGGATTGGGGGGCGAAAAATGGAAAATACTCCAAAAACCTTGCACAACAGCCAAGGATCCTCGAAAAAGCGTCCCCAGACTGTTTTAGAAAAATATGTTTGAATATTCTTCCTGTCTCAATGCTGAGTATTGCCCGCGCCCTGGTGGAGGCCGGTGATCTGCTCCCGCGTCGTGCCCAGCGATCTCGCCGAAGGCCTCCAGCGGCTCGCTCGTGCGACGCATGTGCGTCGCCCCGTGCTGGCACTGCTGCAGCCCCTCCTCCCCTGGACTTCCGCTGGCGAACTACTTCGAAGTGACGGGCTCCGTCGAAGGGTTGGCGACGTTCTGCATGCTTCAGCGTGGCCGAGAGACGAAGCCTTCTGAAAGAGCGCCAAGCTGCCATGGCAACGAGGACATGGCTCGCAGCCCATTTTCTCGCGGAGAGAGCCGCTGCACCTTCGACGAACCCACCATACTATGTTGCTGCATGACCTCGGTCGTTCTATCGGACGACCCTGCGGCTCGACGCGCAACCGCTGCTGTCGACCCCTGGGTGGCCCTGTCCATTAATAGGAAAATGCGGAACCAAACCGAACGGGCCGAAGCGAACCGGCGACAGCAACGCCGCCAGAGCGAAGATCGGGCCCGGATCCGTAGAACAGACGTACAAACACCCAAGCGCAAGCGCCGATTGGGGAACAGCCTTGCCGCGGTGAAGTGCTGGCATTCCATTCCGGATGCGGCGGGTAAAGGGGGGGTCATGGTTATTTCCGTGGTGTTAGACATCACTTCGTTTCGGGCGCTCTCAAGGGACATCTTATTCACACCTGCACTCCGCACGTCAGCTCAATCCTGCACACACCGCAGGCGGCGCGCTCCGAGAGCGTTCGAGAGGCTCTGGAACGGTCTGTCCTGATCCTGGCGCCCTCCTCCTCCCTTCCCCAAAGGCCTTGCGTGTCGTCCCTGTACGACTTCAGCGGCACCGCGACCGCCTGGCGGGGAGGTGCGGCGGGTGGGGGGGCGGAACAACAAACGCGCGGCGCACGCGTTTGTTTTTTGTTGCTTTTTGTTGAACGTGTGTGTGTGTGTGTATGTGTGTATGTTGTGTGTGTGCGTGTGCGTGTGCGTGTGCGTGTGCGTGTGCGTGTGCGTGCGTGTGCGTGTGCGTGTGTGTGTGTGTGTGTGTGCGTGTGTGTGCGTGTGCGTGTGTGTGTGCGTGTGCGTGTGCGTGTGCGTGTGCGTGTGCGTGTGTGTGTGTGTGTGCGTGTGCGTGTGTGTGTGTGTGTGTGTGTGTGTGCGTGTGTGTGTGTGTATGCGCGTGTGTGTGTGGGGGGGGTCATCGCAGCCGTGCTCGGCTTGCATGGGCGGCACAAGGGGCACACGAGTACCTCAGCCAACCCGCAGAAGGAGCATGCGCGGGCAGCCCCGGAGAGCAGCCCACCCTCGCGCTGCGGGCTGGCTGCACGCGCCCCTCGTGGAGGCGCACGCCCGAACCGAACACACATAGAGAAGAAGACACAAAAAGCACACAAGCATAACCCAAAGAGAAGAAGAATAGGGGAACAGAAAATGACATAAACATACAAACTCGGCGGTCCGCGCGGACTTCTCGGATCGGCGCTGGACCCCCCCTCCCTGGCGCGCGGAGCGCGCCAGGGGCGGCGCCGGAGGCGCCGCCGGGGGGCCCCAGCGCCGATCCGAGCAATCCGCGCGGACCTCCGAGTTTTTATGTGTATGTCACGTTCTGTTCCACTGAAGAAGAAGAAGATAGAGAGAAGAAGATAGAGAGGCGCACGCCCGAGCCGAACACACAGAGAGGAGAAGAAACAGAAAGCCACAAACATAACCCAAAGAGAAGAAGAAGAAGAAGAAGAAGATCGAGAGAAGAAGATAGAGAGAAGAAACAAAAACCCAGATCCGCGCAGAAGAAGAAGGTAGAGACAGAAAAATAAGGAGAAGAAAACAAAACCAGAGAAGAAAAGACGAAGATAGAGACAGAAACTTCTGGTCCGCGCGGATTTCTCGCATCTGCGCCAGACGCCCCTCCACGGCGCGCCGGAGCGCGCCGGGGGCGGCGCCGGAGGCGCCGCCAGGGGGGCCCCGGCGCGGAGCCGAGAACTCCGCGCGGAGCGCCGAGAGTTTGAGCTCAGGCCTTTGTTTGTCTTCTTCGATCGGGGAAACGCGAGACTCGAGTAATTTGGGCGTGGCTTCATGGGGGGGTCACAACTGGGGGGGTCAGAGAAGGTCCCCTTTCGTGCCCCTTTCGGGCCCCTCCAGAGCCCCATGGGGGCTCGTTTAGGTACCGTTCGGGTACCTTTTCGGACCACACTCGCCCCCCCCCATGTATGATCCCCCATTACGCATCGCACAAAGTAAGCGGAACTCAGGCTTGCCGGTGTTTTTTGACGAGCGCGTCCTGGCTCTTGACGCTCCAGCTTCCGCGGGATGCTTGCAGCGGGAGCTCGCGCCAAGTTCCAGGCTGGGTCTCGTCGTTCTTATGATGGCCTCGTCAGGCCAACCCGAGTCCCCTGTATCTCGGCGGTGGACACACCTCCCTTTAGTAAACCTCCCCTTAGCGACATCGGCCTGGGACCGAGACCGACGGACCTGGACCCGCAAAAAGGACGGCCGCGACGCCCCCTCCCGAGCCGAAAACGGCCAGTTCCTTCATCGACGTGCCAGGGCAGGAGCCCTGTCCACCCCCGATGGGGCTGGGGGGCCCGCGCCGATCGACAAGACGGTGCAGGAAGAAACGATCACCAAACAGACCGCCGCCGCTTCACAGACGCGGCCGCCTTTGGACTCGCTCGTGCCCGCCGTCCCCCGAGATATCCGAGCACCGGGGGAGGAGGAGGAGGAGGACGAGGAGAAGGAGGAGCAGGAAAAGGAGGAGCAGGAGGAGGAGGAGGAGGAGGAGGAGGAGGAGGCGGAGGAGGACCCCCGAACGCAGCACAGCCACCTCGGCGCAGAGCTCCTGGCACCCGGGGGCGGCCATGGCCCGAGAGAGCGCGCCCGCCACCGAGCAGAGCCACGGGCATCGAGGCGCTCTCCGAGCGCGCGCGGCGCCCCCCCCCGGGGCGCCGACGCGCACAGGCCATGAGGGGGCGTTGGTGGAGCTGGGCTTCGCGGAGCCTGGTTTAGTGATCTGTACCACATCCCAGAAATGATCTCGTTTAGTGGAACCTGGTTTAGTGGAACCTGGTTTCGTGGAACCTGGTTTAGTGATCCTGGCCATCGCTCGGACGTCCATTCCCTGTGGTTTTTTTTGGCTTCGTGCGTGTTTTTTTTTTTTCCGCCAAAGGATCGAGGATGCTCCTCGATGGTCCGCGCCGAAGGAAACATGCACGCGTCCGAGCGATGCCGAGGATCTGTACCACACCCCAGAGATGATCTCGAGCACCCGGAAGAGTGTCGGAAGAGTGCCGGACGAGAGCCTCCCAGGGCCCGACACGTGCCTACCCTCGAGTTTGGGAGGTCTTCTCCTGGTGCTCCCCATTCTTTCTGGCGATCAAGGCTAAAGTAGGTTGAAGCATCATAAGTCGGGCGTTGGTAGAACTGGGTTTAGGGGAACCTGGTTTAGTGATCTGTACAGGGGGCGCCCCCCCGTCCCATTTCCACGAACCGGAACTGGGAACTGCCGTCACCCGAAAAAAACGCCAGCTATGGCAAACCTGGCTTAGGGATTCTGGCCAATTCGAAGGCTCCAGGGCCCCCTTACCCGGGGTTCTGGTCATACCCGACATGAGCATGCTTGGAAGATGCCGCCGACAACTTTCGGTGGCAACTCATGGGAGCCTCCCATACCTCCGTCGGCCCTGGAAACGGCAGGGCATTTTTTTTACCGGCTCCGTTTTGCCGTTTCTTTTTTGTTGGCCAGTCCCGACGCCGCTTGTTTACCGGTTCCGTCGCCGTCTTTTTAACGGTTCCAACTCCGGTTCCAATCCTGGAGCCGTTTGTGTTGCCATTTCCGGTCGCCGCTTTCTTCCCGTTTCCATACTCAACAGATACTTTTTTCGGAAACGGTGAAAAACTGCCCTTCCGTTTCCAGGGCCCACTAGGTCCCATACCATCTTGTCGGCTCTTGCGAATCGACGCTTGTCGACGCTACGTCGACGCTAAGTCTACGCTAAATCGGCGCTATCTCATCAACTCCAGACGCTCATCGACGCACAAGATGGAACTAAGAGGGTATACCAGGCTCCCATGATGCGCCACCGAAACACAGACTCCGGCGACGAGAAGGACAAAGGACAAAATACGGCGCACACACGTAGTTTCTCTGGGTCAGCGCAGTCCTTGCGTCGGCGACCCCCTTCCTTGGCAGGGGCGGCGCCGCCAGTGGGTCCCAGCGCCAAGCCAAGAGATCCGCGCCAACCTCCGTGAAATGTTGGTTGTGCAGTTCTTCCCCCAACACAGGGCTTGCGCTTATGAAGGGGCCCCAGGACACACAAATAAATACACACAAATAAAAAGATCCCCCATATTTTCCCATATTTTCTGGGTTTCTGTCTTCCCCCCCACTTCCCATATTTTCCCATATTTTCCTGGGAGTCGACGATTAATTGTGTATGTGTGTTTCTTTCCCTCCTGAGCTTAGGGGTGTGAAAGTTGTCTTACTCGGCGTCTCGACACTGGGGGGAAGGAGGGGAGGTCTGGCTCCGGACCTCTGCGGAAGGCGACTGTTTTTGCAGCAGTGCGTCCCATGGGGGAGACTCCATCTGCCTGAAACAGGCGCCAAAGACAGCCAAGATCTGCACCGTGGGGAGGGGGACAAGGGGTGCGAGGGCCCGCGCCGATGGGCAGCACATGGAATAAGACAACAATCACGCTTCCTGCTTGTTGCTTCCGTCGCCGCCCCGTCTTGGCGGCGCGCAGAAGGGGGGTGGGGGGAGGGGCGTAGGCGTCTTAGCAGCACCCCTGCTTCTCAGAGGGCGCGTGCCTTTGTCTCTAGATGTCATGCCGGCGCCTTCCAAGAAGCAGCTTCCTTCCAAGAAGCCTCCCCCCCTCCCCCTCCTCCTCCTCCTCCTCCTCCCACTCCTCCTCCCCCTCCTCCTCCCTCCTCCCCCCTCCCTCCTCCCTCCCTCTCCCCTCCTCCTCCTCCTCCCCTTCTCCTCCCTCCTCCTCCCCCTCCTCCTCCTCCTCCTCCTCCTCCTCCTCCTCCTCCTCCTCCTCCTCCTCCTCCTCCTCCTCCCCCCTCTGCGCGCCGCCAGCCGCCGCCGCCCATCGCCGCCAACCGTCGCCACCCCGTCGCTCGCGGGCTCGCGGGCCGCCCTGGCCGGCTTGTCGCCGCCCCGTCGCCGCCCCGTCGCCTCGCCATCGTGCCATCGGAGTGCATGGCGCGGCAGTCGCAGGGCGCTGCAGTCGCGGGGCAGAGAGCAGCATCGCAGACGCATTGCCATCGCACTGTGGCGATATTGCGATCGCATTGCGATCGCTCTGCGGTGCTCTGCTTTGCTTTGCTTTGCTTTGCGTTCCATTGCGTTGCTTTGCATTGCACTTCTGGAGAGCTTGCGGGCACGCGCATAGGGAAACGCTTAGAAAAAAACCTCTCGGCCTTCCGAACAGTTTTCTAAGCCTTCCCCGGCGACACGAGAAATTTCTCCGAAGGCCTCCTCCTTCTCAATTCCCCCCCTCGCTCGCAGCCGACTTTCGCAACAGACTGCATCGTCGAGTCTGGAGGGTTGTTTTGATCGAGTTCCATTTTTTCGTCTTTGACAACGCCGCGCAAGGCATCGATTCTCGCCAACCTGCATGCCTCAGACAAAAAGTAGTGAAGCATTCGGAGAATCAGGAGGGGAGGAAGAGGAGGATGTGACGTAGCCTCGTCTCTAATTGGGAGGCGTCGTGACCGAAACTGTGCATGGAACTCTGCCCAGGTGTGACCGAAACTGACGCTCGAAATTTTCCGATCGAGCCCGAGTGCTACCGAAATGCTTGGTTCGAAACGAAGACGATTTACAATTTCGAACAGAATTTCGGTCACACTACGCTTTCGGCCACAACTTCGAGCACGCGTTTGGTCACCGATTGCTTGTTCAGTCACCCACCTTTTGAGAAGAATAGGGGCGGGGTGCCATGAGGGATGAGGCAAAGCAGGCGCAGCCGTACTAGCAATTGGGAGGAATAATCAAGGGGGGTGGAGAAGAGAAGATCAGCATGAAAAACTAATCCTAGCATGAGAGATGCGGGTCCCGAGGGACACGAGTCCTGGACCCCAGGCCCCCCCCCCGGGACCAGCAAACGGCCTGACCTGCTTGCTTCACGGCGAGAACGAGGGGGAGGAGAGGAGAGGGGAGGAGGAGCAGGAGATCAGATTTGAAAGGCGCGAGAAGGGAGAAGAGGATCTTGGATCTGAAACAGGCGCGAGAAGGATGGGGGAAGAGAAGAGGGGAGGAGGAGAGGGAGATCAGATCTGAGAGGCGCGACGAGGAGGGAGAAGAGAGGACCGAAACGCTTTTTGAGAATCGGCAACAACAAATCAGGACGAGCACGAGCAGGCTGGGCAGGACGAGCGGCGGGAGCGTATTTTCGGCGAGACCGGATCGGCAGGACGCACGGCAGGGCTGCAGGGCCTCTGGACGCCCAAATCTGATGGGCACGCTTCCCGCCACCACCACCACATGCAGGACGGGGAAGGAGGGAGGACGAGGAGGTCCTCCTCCTCCTCCTCCTCCTCCTCCTCCTCCTCCCTCTTTCTTTTTTTTCTTTCTGTTTTTTTGTTTGTCTCTCTCTCTCTCTCATACCGATGGCAGTGGTGGTGGAAAGTGGACTCGTTCAAATCGACTCCGAAATTGGCAGCCCGTGGCCCATGGCTGATGGCGAAGGACCAGACCCCGCAGCCCGTCGCCGCCGCGGCCATCGCCGCCGCCGCCGCCGCCGCGGCCGCCGCTGCCGCCATTGGGGGCAGAAACAACTGCTGCCGACACTCGGGCAAAGGGTGAGCGTCCAAGAGGGGGGCGCGCAAATCATGGCCGGCGGCATGTGCGCGGCCCAGGGGGGGGGGGGGGCGGGGACGTAATGGAATAAGAAGATGCGCCGTGAAATCTGGGGAACCATCATGGCCCACGCCGTGATATCCACCCCCCCCCCGGATCATCACCCCCCTCTTGGCCGCCCCCGAGACTCCGCTGCTCCCTGGACCCTTCCCAGGCTGCGTGCCGACCAAGCACTCGAGGGGAATGCAAGCCGTGGCCATCGCCATCGCTCGGACGTACATTCCCTGTGTTTTTTGTTGTTGGTTTCGTGCGTGGTTTTTCCGCCAAGTGATCGAGGACGCTCCTCGATGGTCCTCGCTGAAGAAAAAAATGCACACGTCCGAGCGATGCCAAGGGCCTCGAGGACTCCTCAAGACGAGCGGCGCAAGCGGCACCTCCTCCCCGGAGCTGCCGCCGCCGCTGCCGCGGCCGCCGCCGCCCTCGGTGCGGCACGCCGCCGTTGTCGCTGCCGCCGCCGCCGCGGCGGCGGCGCCTTCGGGCCCTGGCCCGCCACGCCCTGGTAGTGCTGCCACGCGTCGACAGCGGCCATCGGCGCGCGGCTGGCCGGAGATCTAGGGAAACCCGAAAGGCACCGGTGCCGCGCTGCCCAGACCTCTCCCGGGGCGCATCCTGACCAGCACCTCGAAGCGAATCCAGCTGTGGCGGCGAGGGCGCACGAGAAGGGGAGAGCGAGGCAAGGGTGGCGGTATCGGTACCTTTTCCCTCCTCCGAAGGTCAGCCAGCCCGCGGCGACAGCCAGCACAGGCCAGGCACAGCGGGCACGGCGCCTTTGCGCGCCGCAACCCGGCCAACGTGCCCGCCCGCAGCTAGGGCGCGGTGGCAGCCGCGAATCTTCGGTGGCAACCCGTGGGAGCCTCCCATACCACCTCGTCGGACCTTGCGCATCAGCGCTGGTCCACGCTGAGTCGACGCTAACCGAGACTACATCGGCGCTATCTCATCATCCACTCCCAGACGCCAATCGACGATCATCGACGCGACAGACAGACGCTCATCGTCG